ATGTAATAAATATGTTGATGCAGCGATAGAGGGTTGTAATGGGAGTCCTTGCGCAGAATATGGGGGAGAGTGATAGAAGAACTGGCGAGATATCAAGGATTGTGGTTGAAATCTCTGAGGATTTGCAACTTCTAACATCTGGGGACCAAGACGCCGCTAAAACGAGGGACTTAAAAAACAAAAGCAATGTCTCGACTGAAAGGTGTTTCTGTGAAGGTTTTAATGGAACAAGTTTGAAGAAAAACAGAGTAGTGTGAGACTCACTATCATTGATTTTCCAAAGACAGGGTAGATTTGAAATTCAAATTAACGGTTTTACGGGCCGTTTTTGTTTCGATACGCCCCGGTGAGTTAGTACCGCGTGAGTGTGGAAGATACACAATGTGTTTTGCAAGAAAAGTAGGTTTCAACAAAGAGGCCACATTGTGAAAATGCCATTAGTGAAAGGTCCCTGCTGATTATAAATATAAATCAAGATGATCTACTGGGCAAGCACAACTTAAAATTTTACAAAAATTGGAAACTTTGCTTAGAAAGACATCTTGGATCGAATATTCCTACTAACTTTATATTTTGCAAAAAAGATATTGCGTCAAGATGTCACGCCACGGATCCCAGAGACATTCAACCCAAGGCATCCATTTGTATTAGATGTGTATCCTTATATTTTACCGTATGTTAATAGTAACATCGGGTTACTGAAAATCGAATCAGTTACGAGTATATGCATCTATCCAAGGGTTCCAGTAATCGAGTGAAAATTCCTCACTTCAGTAACCAGGACGTTAATGGGCTGTAACACAAAGCAAGCAAGACGTTATGCAATTCACCAGTTAACGTGCGTCCGGTTGCAGAAATGAGCTCGAGGAATTCTCACTAAATGGACCTGGTGAATATATTTGCTCGTGACTGGCTAGATTTTCAGTAACCGGATGTTCCTATTAACATTACGGGTAAAATCATAAATACAAATCGACCTCCTTCTTGGTGAAAATGACGAAAATTGAAATGTCTTCCTACCTAAGTTTATCCATTTTGTTATTAAGACGTGATTTGATTAAATAAAACTGTCCACAATTATTCGCAATACACTACGTGGTCCTTTGGTCATACATGTAAGAATCAACTCCTGAAACAATGGTCATTTTCTTACGTACTTAGATTTTGTGTAACAACGGAATAAGAAAATAAAATCAATGGATTACCTTCTTTCTGAGATACCGATTAATATGCACGTTTTGAAAAATCAACCATCTAATTATTTGACCTAAAACTCAGCCATCATTTTCAAGCGTAAGAATTAAAAAATTAATCAAAATGAAAAACATTTGAAATGTAGGTATTTAATCTTTACTAGTTGTGAAAAGTTTCAAATATATTTCCATACATGATTTCTCGTCAACGTACAGAGAAACTCTCCAGCGAGGTTATGACTCTGTACGTTGACGACGGCCTAGGCGTGACTAAATCAATATATAATCAAACCACAATGACAGTTATTTGATTTTTATGTCTTTGTATGTCTTTAATAATAAAGTCAGAACTTATGGCATATGAAGGTGACTTAGATCACGTAGAGCTTCTGTTATGTTTGATTCTTGAGAGATATCATGCGATACAATCGTAAAAGAAGGATAAGTGTAGGCATTATCATACATCCGTTTTGTTATTATGTTTTGTTTCTTCCCTAAAAACAATAATGAGTCAATATTAAAGTACACATTTATAAGGTACACATTTATTAATAAATATGTTTACTATACAGATAAATATTCATATTATTCCTTTGTCTTGATTTCATTTACAAAATAATTAAAAAGCTATAGATACATTAGACATGACTTTATGAATTTATAAAAGAACAAGAGGCATCTCTCATTGTGTCTGTTAGTGTTAATTTTCTTCAAAATTGGATAACATTAAATCCATTTCACATATTACACAGATATTTTGTTCGAATGAGGGATTACATTAATTAGGGATTCTAGAAATCATTGAAAATGCAACAGGTATTCACCAAAAATAATATGAAATATTTGTTTTAGCATTTACTGTTATATTGCCCATTCTCTTATTGGGAATGTCTTAGAAGAACACTAAGAATGCTTTTTTGTATATTATTATTCAGACTTATGTGTCTCATGCTTATATTGGAAATATCCTCTTAAGAACGAGGCTCGGTTGCATTCCCATGTATATATTGCCCCGTTCTGAAGGAGGGATACAAACGGAGTTTAGGGAATATTCGCTCTCCAAAATAAGGTTTACTCAACGACCAATGAAATATGCATCACAGGGAAACATCATAGGATACTTAACGTCACATGTTGAATATTCAACCAGTATGATAGAGAATGAGAAACGACGGTGGGATAGTTAATACCGATCAGTCAGAAACCCTGTGTAAAAGAAATTATGGTCCCCTGGGGATTATGGTCCCCTTTCCTCACGGCCCTTACTGTGTATAAATACTAAGGAAAATTATTGTAATTAGGTCACCATATAAATCAATAGAGAGTAGGACCAAAATTTGATAGGACCACCTACCCTTTTACACCTGGATCTCAAATCACGTTAACTTTAAAACATTAATGCCTAGGTCACATAGCCGCCGGGCGCCGGCCGATGAGTAGTCATTTCTAAATCGACCGGGCGCCGGTGACTTTTCACCGATGTCTTGATCTAATCGTGAGTATGGTCACATTAGTACAGGCATCGTACGGCGCCCGCAATCAATTGAATCTGAAAGACATCGCACGGGTATCGCAAGGCTATCTGCCGATGGCCGTACGGCACCCGCCGGGACATCGGTCGATCTACAGGCCTCTAGATTTATACTAAATTCTTGTATGACCCAGTATGACTGTTCCACATGGCGTGAATGCAAGATTTGAAAACGAAATACTTCGATAGACAGGACTTCCAGGATAATAATGTTTGCATGCAATAAAAATCAGAAAAAGAAGATCCTATTTTGATTAAATAGGTTCAATATTTAGAAGAAGAAAAATGCCGACAAGGGGTCCCTATTCATAATTTTTCAAATTGTTTGATTGATATTTTTACTATCATGGGTACTTCAATTGAAAGAAAACATATTGTTTTAATAAAAACACTGTATTTATGCCCAGAAAGTACTCATTGTGAAAGATATGACCGTCTAAAATCACTTGCCATACTGCACGAGGTCTTTTCATCAAAGTGCACCCTGACCTTAATTCATTTTTAGATCTTTATATAAACAAATACTATGTCTACCTGTCCATCCGATGCTATTAGCAAAATTCCCTATTTCTGCATCTTTCTTTTGTCTGTTCTCGTAAAGAGAATTTGTTTGGTCATAAAAATATGGCCTATCTTCAAAGAAATTGGCGATTTTTTCTTCTATTTCAAGTGGAGTACCCTCTTCCCTCGACACATCTAAATCTTCCCAAGGCCTTCCTCATATATGGCCCATTGGCCTTATCCCCATTATCCTTAGTCTTTGGCATATTAACTGTAATTGAGACAGTGAACTTTCGTATTAAAATTGTGACCCTTGAAAATACTGTACTCACAAAAACATTCAGAAGATTTTTAAAATAAATGATTTGTAATGGTATATGCATGAGTGAATATACGCATAAAAATGTATCACTCTATTCAATGTGTATGACAGACATACACGATTAATGTCAATATAAGAACGACTAGATCAACCCACCCAGCCAGCCATTCAAATGTGTGTCATTGTTTTACAGTAAGCCTAATCGTTCCATTTATGTTTTATAAAAAATCTCTGATTGTGTGTAGTAATTATAATTCCTTACCTCATTATTTTTAAAACCGTTATATCACTTTATAAGTAATCATTATTAAGATTTATCTAACAAATCAGCACGCAAAATCCCAAGATGACCGTGCGATGCCACCGGGCGCCGTAAGATAATCGTACGATGACCGGACGGGACACGGCCGGGTAGGTACCGATGAGTTTGGTTGAGAAAAAATCGCCAAGACATCGGCAACTTTTATCTCCGCGATAAAACTCTGCCGGCGCCCGTACGATGTCTAAAAATCGGCCGATGAGTGGCGATCATCGCCCGGCGCCCGTACGATGCCCGGGCTCGCCGGCCGATTTTGAACAAAATACTCATCGGCCGGGCGCCGTAGTGAAAATCGGAGCCTATGTGACCAAGGCATAACCCATGACATCTGCTAAAATGTAATTACATTTTGATAGACGAAGCTAGCCACCTCTTCAAAAAAAGAATAAAGTCGAATTGTATTTCACTTATCATTAAATACTTATCTCTATTATAAGAGACACTTTATCTGAAATCTCGGTTAAGTTCTATTAGATCATCTACCCATGACATCTTAAGATTAAATTACATTTTCACAAATGAAACAGATCCTTCAAAAGTGAATAATGTTTGATTGTATTTCAGCTGACTACTGAGTATTTCGACTGAATACTTATCTTCTAAAGCCCGAGATCTCGAATCGCACAATTAAAATACCAACCCACGGCATCTGCGGAAATATAATACAATTTTACAAATGAAACTGACACATCAAAAAAGAATAATGTGGAATTGTATTCCACTTGTTACCAAATACTAATCTAGAATTGGGATTAATTTCCATCACATCGTTACCCTTCACATCTGTGGAAATATAATTACATATTATTACAAAAGAACTGGCACTACTTCCTTGACCTCGATTGCACTAATGTTGTCTCTGGGCATTAATCTAGAGAGATGTCAAAAAGATTAAGCACAGTGATATATCATATTTTTGAAACGTCACGTTGTAACAGATTTTATCATTGTTCAATAAAAGTGATAAAGTACAATATTTTATAATGCAGTCTATCTGTCACGTCAATAGTATTCATCTAGTTGCAAGGACCGATTCCCGTTTGATCCTGTAACAAAATGGCGGAACTTCCGGTGTGGGAAATTTTTATTTTCTTCCTTTGCAAACTTCGTAATCACCTGAGACTAAAGAAGAACAATACCTACAAATAGATATGTTAGTCTCAGTTAATTACATTTGGCAAAATTGTTACATGAACAAAATCCCGCATGTTTAACCTGGTCATATTGGGAAAAATTCCCTTTTTACAAGAACGCAAGTTGTATATTCTAATAAATGCGGTAGATATTACCACTCACTGCAACCAGAAAAACTGCGAAAAACTGCTTCGACTAGCATCACAATGCATCTTTCAGCCAAATGCTATATTAAGTAATTTGACCGCTTCGAAGAGGTTAAAAATGTATACAGTCCCATACAGGAAGCTCAGCCATGTTGTTACATGAACTATGTAATTATTGTAACTGTATGGAGACCGATGTCTTACAATATTGAACCTTACATCTTCTCCAGTCAACCACAGGCAATAACATTTAACGAAATGATGTAATGTATCTCCAAGGAATGATTGTCCGCCACTCTAATAATGTGGATCTCGACTTTAAATGTTTCTTCATTATCTCTCAGTCGTATTCAATAAATTTAGAAGGTTTAAAATAACTGATGGGCTTTGGACCTTCGGGGAAATTTACTTCTTCCAAAGCCGGATACTCGACAGTCTGCCAATGCAAAATGATATTTCTTCTTGTAGAATGTAAAGCCTACTGATGTCTTAGAAACGGATGGCATGTACTTATAGCATCCTTTTATCGCATAGACTCAGTACGCTGTTCAGTTTGTCCAGCGGAGTACACTATCATACAAAATATATCCGACGCGATAAATGTTTTTGTGTCACGTATCGTTTCTTTTTGATTCAAGTCGCCGTGCTGTCTTCTAAAACGATATTTATGTCAATGACTTATATGGTATCAAAGTGTTCATGTGGATCACCATTTACTATTTATTGTCTGAATGGCAAGATCAACAAACGAGGTCACGTGTTTGACACAAAATGTCCACACTTATTTCACTACATATGCAATAAGGTTTTTTATGGAGTCGAGACATTATATCATGATAGTCCAATTTTTTGTTTCATCTCCATCTTAAAAATTGTCCGATACAATGTGGTACCTTTTAGAATCCCTTTCGGCACCATTGTGACTGCTCCAAGAGGTTGTCCCCGTGTGGTCCTTAATGGAACCCATTCTTATCCAGCTATATAGGAAGTCGGGCGCGCCTCCCTCGACGTTCCTCATAGACAGGATACACTTAGCGCAACAAATTGTACAAAGTTCGCGTCGGAACTTGCGTCCAGTAATACAGTACAAAAGGAAGTTGATAGCTGAATTGATGTAAAAGATGCTTCCGCAAATGGAATAAGCGAGGAATAGTGCGGCTTTGTTTTGCTCCGTTCTAAGATTGAAGTCAATGCTATGGTAGTAGAGCAAATAGATAGAAAATGGCGACGTGGTAATGATGAATCCGAAGCTAATTCCAAGAAGCATGGCTGTCATAGAAGTAAACTTACAGACATCACCGCGTCTCGAGTTCATTGAGCTTTGCCTGTAGTTAATCACCGAATTATTGGTCATCTCGACGCGTTCGCTACGAGCGTGCATGACCTTGGCGATAATGCAAATGTTACAAATTATCATAATGATGAATGGTATGAACGATCCAATGCAACCATCAATCCATATCCAAATTTGTACTACGAATGTCTGAAACTGTGGTCTGTTTGTACAATTTCCGATGTTATCAAGGGACAATGTCCAAATAAAATGTAAATCCACCCCAACAAGGACGACGCCCATTGTGACTAACGAGAATATGGCGGTCTTTTTTGTACACAGTTGTTTTGCTCTGAAAGGATGCCATACTGCGATTAGTCTTTCAATGGATACAGCTACGAGTATCCATGCAGAATAGTGTTTTGAAAAGTATGTGACAAACATATCAAACTGGCAGACACCTTCAGACAAGTTGCGGAGTGATATACCAAAGTTGTACTGCAGCGTGTTCCTTAACAACGCAGTCCAAAGGAACACGAGGTCTGTGATGCCAAGCGTTGTGAGATATATGGTAGTTGAACATTGACGAAGTTCCCGACGTAATAGTATGATAACAGATAAGATATTTCCTAATGTACCAACAACTAGGATAACTGGCGAACAGTACTTGAAAACTGATCTTCCCATTTCATATTCTGGATACTGTAAAAATGAATCGTTTTGATAAACCGGGGTATTAAGTTCTGAATCGTTCATACTTTTATCAGAAATATTACCTCCCACAAATTTCTCCAATGCCATATTTGACAGCAGCGAAATCTTTATAAATCGTATGAATCCATGAATATGAAACTAAATCGTCGATAACAGGCACTAATCCATCATTTCTCTTATTAGTGCCAGAGTTGGATGTTGATTCTGCATGTTTGAACTTGAGACTTGACCTTTGGTTGCCTTATCTGAGTACTAGCATTGCTCTAGGAAATGAGTTGACTATCTGAAAAATACAATTATAAGGTTCTCAAGAAAATGTAATTGCATTACAGGTATCTCGACAGACGGTATGTTTTATTCATCCAGTTTGAAGCCAGAGGCTTCTGTTAACGCGTTTGGCTAATTGTACATAACTATCCTATTCATTAACTTCTCCTTTATCATAGTTATTGATGCTATGGATCAAAAGTCGAATACAAGTATTCTAGTCTCGGAGGATGGCTTTGAAACTAAATCGAAGATGATTATCGACGATAATTTTACTAGCGTTATTCGGTTAAACGTAGAAAGTGATATAAAGCGTAATGTATACCCGAGAACTTAGGAATTCAATGATGCTTTGACTAAGTGTAATAGTAAGTCCCTAGGCGTTTTTTAACAATGTTCGTCTTAGTGGTTTTATTTAATAATCAATCGTGACCGGGAAAAAATGTTCGTAAAAGTTTGTGGCGATTGACTTTAACGCGCGTGAGACGTATTTCCCTATTGCGCACATCCTATTCTCTTAACGGGAAATTGTGAACCAAGAAGCACTACTTCACGGAGTAACAAATTCCATCGAACGGCCATATTTAATATTTCTTCTTGGGCCAAAGGCCTACACCGATAAGGCACAAACCTATAAAATCTGAACGAAATCCGTCTACTGGTATTTGAGATGACGTTTCCAAAAAATGATTGTCATTTTGAAATTCAGCGGCCATCTTGAAAATTTCAAAACAGACTTATGTCCCTAGGCCGCATCAGCATATAAAATTTGAACCTAATCGATCCGTCGACTGGTGCTTGAGTATTACATTTTCACATAGAATGGCAGCCGTTATATAATTCGGCGGCCATCTTAACAATTTCATTTTGAACAGAGGTCGTAAACTTGTATTTGAGTTATCGAAGATAACATTTTTACCAAAAAAGTGGCGATCAATTTAAATTGAGCGGCAAAATTGAAAATTCTCTCTCGATCAGAGGTCATACATTTATAAGGTGTGAGCCTTTGAAAAATTAACCAAATTCATTAACTGCTATTTGAGTTCAATAAATACTACAATTTTACGAAAAATGACGGCCATTTTGAAATTCAGTAGCCATCTTTGAGCAGGCCTCCAATGTCCCTAAGCAACAAAATATAATATTTGAACCAAATCCGTCAGCTGGATTTGAGTAATCAAAGATTTTTCACGAAAATGGCGGTCATTTCGAATTGAGCGTACATGTTGAGAATTATTTCTCGAGCAGAGGTGCTACACCCACAAGGCTTTCAATCTGAGCCAAAGGCGTCAAATGGTATTTGGGTTATCGCCAGGACGAAGTGACAGACGGACGAGCACACGGGAAGACGGCTTCTCTATATCCATATGAACTTTGTTCGGTGGGATAAAAACCATCTGATTGAATTCAGTAACGGCTATCAACTTATATTAAGCCATAAAAAATAAAATAAATTTTCTCCTTCATCTCTTTCAAACTGCATATTAATTCAATTTATTTCGTAATAACCACAGTTTATAATTGACAGTGAATGAGTATATTCAATTTGTGTCTTTTTCAGTGTGAACGAAATGAAGCTTCATAAGTTTTAAATGAATACTAGACTCACGGTGTCCGATACTACCCAACGTAAATCGTTCCGGACTTGTTTTTCATAACCATTGGGACTTGATTTATGGAAAGAAGTAGAGGTAGGTTTGTAAATTTGGTTATGAAATTGCTTTCACTTGACTTTATGTAAATATAATACAATTAGATAACATACCATACTATATACCCTATATTCAGGCACCCGCAAACGCCTTTTTTGTACGAACCGTTTGCTATAGTCTTGTTATTTCGGGATGTGAGCGATTCTGCCAGTGTTTTCACCTATTTTGCTGATAATCACCAGCCTGCCTTGTATCCAATGAATACACCGATTCATAATGAAAGTAGCCATATTGTGAACGAAAATCATGATTTAAAATGGTTTAAATGAGTAGCAATTGTCGAAAGATCATTTTTTAGATTTAACCATTTGGACTTGACCTAAATATTCCAGTTAATGACGTTGACTTGTTATTGGAACGTTTCTGACTTGTGTTATTGGAACGTTTCTGACTTGTAGAACACAATGAACCATTTTAAAGTGTGGAACAGCTCCATAAACTTTATAGATTTCCAACAAATCATCATCTGAGTGGATGAGGACAGTGGAAGAAGTTGTCTGAATGATACTATCTAAATGATCATCATTAATTAAACGTATTAAGAGATATTTGTAAAGGTTGAATTAGGGAATCATTACAGATACATGTTCTTTACTTGATACTTTCAAGGGGCAAGAATGCATGTAGAGAGAAAAGTTGATTTTTACTTTTTCTTGTGTTTTGCCTCTTCGCTTTTTTAAGGACTTCACTCGTCGCTATTTTTAATTTGCCTATGAAAAATGTGAGCATAAGTTTGCCTCAAATAAGACTTTAAAACGCCCTTATTGGCTTTAAACTGACTTCCATGCTTATATTAATGCTAAGCAAGAAGTTAAGTGAAAGTTGAGAAGAAATAATTAGTTTTAATCGTTATTTACTGTTAAAAATCTGAAGAGGACTTGGTTTAACCTATTCTTCCTCCTTTATCGAGGTACCATCATCAAATGACAGCTTTGAGCCTTATTTATCACACATCCGGAATCCATAATCCTGTGTTTTGTAACGCCACATGCCTTTATCACGAAAAGGGACGTCAAACCTGAATAAATCGGAGGGGTGGTCCCTCTTGAAGTGTTCAAAGAATATATTTTTATCTGCACTTTTAAAAGTGCATTCGTGGCACTTGTTTCTGGGAACTGAAATTACAAAATGTGTGAATATTTAGTACCAGAACTCCTCTAAAACATAATCATACTAAGTGCAATTTTTCCAGAAGCATAGACAATTGATCAAGCAACGAAACGTATAAATACCATTACAAGACAATTCCCAATGGTTGTTTGTATCACGTTGTGTACAATTCGCAGTCGTTCACCTAGTGATTATAAGACAAGTCCGTGTCAGAATAACGACCATTCGCCGTCGTTAACTCCAACTTTAACATTACGGTCATTTATGGAAATTTGAAAGTACAGATAGTTAAAATATTAACACAATCTTTAATGTAGTGAATATTGTTCCACGTTGTAAAGTGATTTTTTTGTTTAAATATAGTTAAATGACACTAATGCAGATTTAGAGCATATTTCTGGCATTTTTGTTATTTAATGCCGATAAATATGAACTATGGTGGCACGATCGCCAAAATAGATATGTGGGAATGAAAAAGAATGTTTCAGGTAGAAGTTAGTGTATGTATTTTTCTAAACGATTGAATTATATTACCTTTTTGAGCCATTCTGATAAATGTCTCATCTCATTCTCCTACGAAATCAAGTCCAAATGGTTATGAAAAACAAGTCCGGAACGATTTACGTTGGGTAGTATCGGACACCGTGAGACTATTAAGTTCCATTTCTTCTGACAAAAGCATGCGTGTTTTTGTACATAACTACATTTAGATAAGAAAATAACACTGATAAACTAAATTAAACGGAACACTATTTGACAAAGGCAAGCTTCAACATGTGAAGTAATCAACATCAACTGGTCCTCAGTAGGATGATAATAACTGGAGCTAGCATCATTCAAGATGGTGAACAAAATTCGTTCGATATCGATAAATCTTTGATTTTGCTAAACCAGAAAAATGGATTCCAAATATTTCGCCATGCAAACTTATATATAATGTCCAAAACAATCGATAATTCCTTTAAAGTGGTTAACTATGTGTCAAAATGAAACATATTGATGCAAGAAAAATTAAAAAAGCAGGGATGGAAGGGGTCAAAAATTAGGAAAATATTTCAGAAAAAACATGTGGGTGGGTTGTTTGCATCTACCCTGTCTCAAAGTCAAAATTATTTTATCATCTCTAGAAGTGATTTTCCTGGAGGTAATGCATTCGCCTAACATATGCACCTTTTTAAATCCCAAGGAAATGGCCAAAATCAAACATATGACTGTCCAAAATCGGTTGCGCTAACTTCCCCCCTCCTTTCACCATTTTCGGAGATGCATTGAGCACTTCTTCGTAGTTGTTTACAATCGAAAATATTTAGTTTGCATGACAAAATATTTGAAGTCCATATTTTACAAGGTTTAGATTGAATCAAAGGTTTGTCGATATCGAGCGAATTTTGTCCACCATCTTGGATGATACTAACTTATGTTGTGGGCCAGTGAACATGTCCAATTGAAGAAACCTGCAAAATCAGTGGTCTCCACCCCCTACATCATTGTTGTACGGGTTAATTGGACTGCTACGTTCTTTGAAAACGGATACTTGTGTTTAGTCTTATCAGGATTCGGAAGCATGTTTCTATAACTTACCATCGTCGGCTGTTCATTGTAAATATCAACAAGTTTTTGTTATCCTTGAATCAAAGCCTGTCCAGATTTAGTGTTTATGTTCGCCATGTTATTTATGTAAATATCAATTGAGTTCTCTTGTAATTAGATACGAGGCTTATTTGAATGAAGAACAGGTTTTGCAAGTACTTCCTGATCGATAGAAGGTGCACTTTTAAAAGGAATAATAGCCAAATGATCAAATACTGGAGATAGTTAAAGGATGTGTGTTTATTTCCTAATTACTCGTAAAAGGAGCATCATTATAGCGCAATTCATGCCAAATTAACGTCTAATTAATGGTATTCAAATGAAGGCAAGCTGAAATATCTTAATCGTAATGATACTTAGAGTCAATGAGACTCAGATGGTGTTTGAATAATATCACAGTCTTACAAAAAGGCCCTTACACACTTTTGTTATTAAGATCGCCTCTCGTACCTATAAGATATTTAAATTTAGATATTATAGCGCGATCTAGCGATAATTTAATAATCGTTGATGAAGAGAATTGTTACAGATAAATAGGTAATATATAATGTTTCTAAAGAATTACCTTATTTGTTTAGCTTGTCACTCATCCTTAACTGCAATGAACAGGTCTATTTAGCTGTATTCAGTGCATAAAATACTTGCTCCTTTTGAAAGTTCACTGAACAGCAAGACCATTAGAATTACGTACTAACACAACCAGCAATGCAGTATTTACGGGCGAATACTTTTTATTTAACTCTCGGTACTTGATAATCAATTGCTTTTTTGATTGTTTCCATTTACCACAAATATTAATCAACTTTCACTATTTTTATCCAATTCCAAAATGAACAATAACGTTTTCGTTTCTGTTTGCATCGCCGTCTCGCCTTGCTCCAGTGAGTTCATTAGTTATAAATGAGCTCTTAAAATGATTTCCTAATGTCGTTCCGCTCGCATTATATCTGTTGATTATTCAAATTGCGCCAACGGCAAATTCGCATGTATCTTCCTGAAGAGTTAGGACCGGAATACTCACTGTTTTATTAATGCAAATCCTCGCCTGGATGAACCTGCCTTGTTAACATGATAGCGATCTGATTCGAGGAATCTAATTTTTCTTATTCGCCGATAACTGCTCGATTGGTTATGTTGTTACTTCTAGATACAGGCAGTACGACTATGCGCAACAAGTTCATCGAGCATCATTATATGTCACAATAATGTCACGTAAGCCTAGCCCCCGTGTGGGCTTTGGAAAACCCAGACAACGACGTCATTGGCTGAATAGAAATCACTTAATTAATAGAATAGGAATCATTTAATTGCATGATATTCGAAAACATCCAGTCAGATGAAGATGTACTTTCAAACTCGAGGCTTATGATATTTCAATATCATAACTACTTCATATTGAGCTTTAAAAACGCTGAAATCGAATTCAGAATACTTATTATTTAATCTTTAGAATACTTGTAACATATCTTATTCAAGATAGAGTAACGTATTTACACATTGGATTCAGAACGTGTCTCTAGAGAAAAAAAACAGAGAAATGATTTTAAGAAAAATACACAAATAATACCCGACCAATATATAACAATTGTAATCGGTATGATAACCCTCATTATATTACTCCCTACTTGAGCAGCTAGAACTTAACTACATTTCTAGTGAGTGATAAATTGTAATTATTAGAAGTCTCTAGTACCCAGGGTATGGTTTATTCGTTTATCAGTTCATGTAAGAGGATCATTTTTCAATTATTTGTCATCACTGTAAAATAATATAATGCGTGATGATGGTATTTATTGCTAATGATATCAGCTTCGGAAATGTTAAACGCAATTCGATGTCATACATTAGTTGTAAACTCTTTGTTGTCTACTTGGAGATAAAACGTCGTCATGGAGAACAATGAGAAACTAACATGGCTGTCCAACCTGAAATGGCAAATTTGTAGAATACACGAATGAGCTATCCGGTAATGTCTACCTGTGATGTAATGGCATATATTAAGTAATATATTAAGAACGGTGTACCTGTCCCTGGTACCAGTGTGTGTTTGTATATCTTTATTATCCTTAAATATTAATTGCATACAATGTATATACTGTAAATATAAAAAATTATAATATGTAAAATCAAAGTAAAGGACCCGAGAGTTGGGGATTTGAGAATTTGCGTCTGACTACAAAATGTACTATCTGGGAGACATACGGATCAGTGAGAGAGAAAACATTTTTTGTGGTGGTTTTACCAAACAAAATAATCTGCAGCCAAATCTTAGATATTTGAAGCAGATGAAATGAGCCCTTGTTCTTAAAATGAAGTTTGTGAAAAATTGTTGGCTGATAATCAAGGGATTTTTGTATTAATAGCTTTTATGACAGATTTATCATTATAGCTCTCCTATATTTTCACAACTGTGTAAAACATTTGATAATATGAATGACTGACGTCTTGGAGTATGGTAGGATATAGAGTACGTGATCCCGGTTTAATCTTACGACCCCATTCATGCACAGTAGATGCATATTAGACCTTATGGTCCAAATATACAAGGGGCGATCCATATATTCTGATAAAAATGCTCTCATTTTGTGATTTTTTTCATATATCCCTGTCATTTTTTTACACATACAATGCTAAAATGTAATGGCTATATCTTAAATTTATTTTGAGATAATGTTGCCATGGTAACCTGTATTTTGGGTAGGCAGGTCAGTTAAATGTATAAGATAGATAAATTTGTTCATTACTCATTCCTTCGGTACCTATTTTAAGTAGATCAAACGCATCTTCCGGTCATTGCCATCTATTCGCTGAACTGTTCCGTACCCATATTGCCTTTGTTTGCTAATATACACAATATTTAAGCATTGTATGTTTAATTACATAATCTACATTTTCTGAAAAAATGAGAGGGATATGTGAAAAAATCACAAAATGAGAGCATTTTTATCAGAATATATGGATCGCCCCTTGTATAACAACACAATTGACATATTCCCCACTGTAGTTGGACCGGGAAATTGCTAATAATGATTGATGTGGTGTCAATGAAAATTACATCCTAACACCTGAAATATTTCATTAATGTGAAATTCCCTTGAATGCACGGTGGGCGACAAATCTCCATATAAATCCATCTAACATCAATATCTGCAGAATAAGCGGATGTCTTTACGTAACTTTCAAAGTTCTCGCGGAGGGCTTATAGAGAGGAAAATTAAATTTGAAGTACCTCAAGTCTTTAATAAATATACTTATCTTGATGAATCCGTAAGAATTCCCTTGATGTCAGATGCCACACTGCGGCAAGGTTAGAGCGTCCTGTCCTGTGACCTAGCAGTTTACCGCATGATAATTATAATTAGATAGATGCTGGAGTTTACTTCCAGTTCCAGGGGTGATTTTTCTTAATTTGTCTCAAGTTCTCAATATTTCTTAACATAATGAATCAACTAATTTTTTACCAATGTGACTTTTTAACAGAATTTCAAAATATTAAGCATAAAAATTCCATATTTTATAATGGAGTTCAATAGAGAAAATATTTTACCCGGAGCGCAATAATTTTCTTGATATTGACAGAAATAATGAGTAATGGTTAAACAAATTTTATTTACATAAAATATGAAAAAATAAAAAATATTCATGAAAACCTATGGAAATAGACCAAATGGCGTATTTTTAAATGCGAAAATTGTTCAATTTTTCAATATTACAGGGTAACCATAATTTTGGTAATGGTTTGATTTTCAATCTAAAATTAAGCAAGTTATACACTGGTGAAATGCTTTTTAGTTGATTTTAGGTACTGGTCCGCTCAATTTGTGTTAAATCGCCGAAGAATTTGACAATTCTTTTAATTTTTCAGTTTATTCAATGGAATTAAGTGAGGTTTGGGTTTTACCTTTCTATTTTCAGATGAGTATTTGTCGTCTAAAGAACAAAGAGGATTGGATCCCAAGTTTCCAACGCACAAATGTTGCAATGGTCGACATTCTAGCAATATCGACAATAACTAAATGCTGTTATTGTCTGACATCATAACTGGCTATCAATTCATAATCAACGATCCAAAAGATTCGAACTTATATCTGATTTCTTCTTGTGTCTTTTTACAATTTTTGTTTAGAAATAAGACCAAACTCGTGATTCAAATTCAGACCGTGTCTTTTAAGAACTGGTGAAACTGAGGACCGGTTATACTCATTAACAGCGGAACAGCTACTTCCCGTGTGTATACCCCTGTATATAGCAAAATATTGAGTTGGAACCCAAAGAGCCAATCCTTGTTTAAGGTACAATCAATTCCATTGATCATGTTGTATAATAGTATCGCGCATCAATCTTGCTCTGAAACACAATCCCAGTGAAGAATTAAGTCATAGTTTTTACTGAATTGCTCTCTTATGTGTTGTGTTAATGTAAATAATGGGCCATGAAATGATATAAAATAAGTGCAGTGATACTGGAAATTCTTTGTAAAATGTTCACATGTTTATCCATATAATTTTTTTAACTCAACCATTAAAATGTTTTAAAAACGTTCAATTCACTTTATCACTGATCCAAGAGCAGTATGTGAAACGTTGTGGCAATTTGAGTTACATTTAAAATAAAGATTCAAATCCCATTGATTTAAATGATAAAATGAACAAGTTAATGATTGATGTACCTGTGGATTGAATGTTTTGATACATTTGCTATCAGATCAAGCTTTTTTATGTTTCAGACTTAAGAAAGATGGGGCAAGGGAACTGGCGATTGTTTATTCTGTAATAAGCAATGTAGATATGACCTCTGTAATAAATTGCTCAGGTGTCATTTTTTATTCCTGGACGCCATGCCCTATGCTGTTAAATCAGTCCTTCCATTTCCTGTAACAAATGAGTTTTTGACTTGTCCAGAAGACACAAAACTACATTGGCGTGTGGTAATGATTGGTTTGCCTTACGGGCAGGAAATTGGTTTTATGTTTGATTTACTTTAGCGCAATTTTTAAACAAAGTATATGATTTCTGATGTACTTTATATTTGCAGTACACCCTCATAAGGTGTGTCGCCGTTACAAAGGTGAATAAAATCATTATATTTTGAATTTTGATGAAAAATAAAAACAGGAGAAAAATGAAAGCGCATGGTGTGTTTTGCAACATATGTTATTGTAAAAGATGTACTGTCAGTAAGTGACGACAATTAAGGTACCCCTTAATAACATACACCAACTTTTCACTAAGCATGGTTCAACGTATAACAATGGTAGTTAAAGATGCAGTCCACCATATAGATGTACTTTGACGTTGCCTCGTCATAAACGCCGGTTGCTTTGCATATTTTAAAATGAAATAGCATTGACAACAGACCCTTAAATATATTGTTCAATGAAAACCTCTTTCAATATACTAAGGAAGACCAATATATCTATTTGCAGGATGAAAATGAGGAACATGTCAGGTTTGCGCAATTCTACTTAATGGTATCCGTCTCACAGCAGGGTTAAATTGATTCGATTCGAGACGTTTTTGTCAAAACTGTGAACCTCTTACCATATACGGTACTTCTGGCATATAGCCATCTTCAAGACAAAATGAAACCATGATTATTTCGTATTTCACCAAGTTAGTATCCTCAATATAGGTGGAAGGAAAATCACCAAACAGCAAATTGAAAGAATT